GACAACTACTCTTTCAAGGATTTTTGATATGAAAGGAAGGTTGGAGATTGGCCTATAATTAGCTAAGACTGCTGGGTCTAGAGATGGCTTTTTGAGTAAGGTTTAACTGCAGCCACCTTGAAGGCCTGTGGTACATAGCCGATTATTAGAGATAGGTTGATCATATATAAGATCGAAGAATTAATCAATGGCAGGACTTCTTTGAGCAGTTTTGTAGGAATGGGGTCTAAAAGACACGTTGATGGTTTGGAGGAAGTAATTATTTTACAAACAATTAACATAGTAGATACAAGTCTACACATCTGCATCAGATGCAGTGAAAGGTTTCTTTTTAAAGTGTCCTTAACATTCCTTATTCTACCCGTCTCAGGCTGCAGGACGGGAAAAGTAAGATAGACTTGAAGATTGTAGTAAATGTACAGAAGCTTTGTGTAATCTTTCTGTATCCTCATACACTTTGTCTTAACTGATCACTGAGCACCTTTCTGCTGAGTTTAGAAAACTGTGGTTAGTTTGGTGTGCCAATTTACACTAATGAGACGAGTATCATAAAATATGAAATACTGATTAAATATGTATCCCACACACCTAAATACTACATCTTACTAGCTAATACTTTAACTTTTGTCATGTTTCTTTAATTTTACTACTTAAATTAAGCGTGAAATATGAATATGCACCCAGCATATAATAGAAACTTTGTTTCCAAATTATAAACTACTTCTACTGTATATTCTTCTTGCTATATGCAAGTAAACAGACTGATTCTTATAGAGCGATTTTCTTCATACAACATGCTACATTCACCTCCTTCCATGCGTTTAAATTCTTACTAACTAACATTTACACTGCAATGGATGCACTGGAGAGCATCTCATCCAAGGATACTTGGCATGCAGACTGGGGGAGCCAGATGACCTGCTCTACCTCCCGAGCTACAGCCACCCTGTGTTTAAGTGGAATATGCCGTACTGCAAATGGCAGTAAAGTTCTTAAAGTCACCCACATATACCCAAGACTGGCAAATGAAAGTCAAACAAAAAGACTGATAAATTTTAAAAAGCAGTGCACGAAGATGTCATGAAAAAGACTGAGGAGGAGCTGTGTAATAATAAGTCACAGGTGAATTCAATTAACTCATTAAAATGAAAACAAAGGCAGGAAAAAGAACAAATGATGAAAGTAAAAACACATCAAGATCCTTAACTATCTACTTCAAAATAAAACAGAAGGGGTAATTAAAGAGAGATCGAGAATAAGCACACACAGACAAGAAAAACTGGATATAAAAAGGGGAAACACACAAGGGAAAAAGGGAACAAACATTTAGATAACAACAAATAAAACTCA